TTTTTTTTTTTGAGGCAGAGCTTCTCTCTGTTGCCCAGGCGGGAGTGCAGTGGTGCGATCTCGGCTCACTGCAACCTCTGCCTCCCGGGTTCAAGCAATTCTCTGCCACAGTCTCCCAAGTAGTTGGGATTACAGGTGGGTGCCACTGTGCCCGGCTAATTTTTGTATTTTTAGTAGGGATGCGGTTTCACCATGTTGGTCAGGATGGTCTCGATCTCTTGACCTTGTGATCCACCCGCCTCAGCCTCCCAAAGTGCTGGGATCACAGGCATGAGCCACCGTACCCGGCCCAATCACTAGTCTTTATAAAGTTTAGAAGGTACACAACCTTTATGACTATGAAAGGCTATGCTTATTTTAATTCACAGCAAGGCACAAAGTGATCACCTAGTACAAAACCTTTTAAAACAGTTATGAAAAACGCCAGGATACCAAATCAAATGGAAATTTGGACCCTAATTTGATTGCCTAACTTTGAAAAATGTTTCAGAACTGTACCTACCTACGTATTATGCTTGTGATAAGTTATATGCTGAAGCTTTGTGCTGGTAATATTTTTAATGTGCAATTTTTAGTGGACTATAAGAATTAAACATTTATTTCCCATTAAACTATATGTTTCTTTTAACTTTAGGGAGCAAATGTGTAAACAGCCCATAAACTTTCCTCACTTTTAAAAGAAATAATATATCAAGAATATAATAATAATAATAGAACAAGTAGGGAAAGTGAGTTGGGTATGGTGTTTTCATGATTGCGGTGAGGTTATTCTCCTGTCCATATGGAGTGGAATACCCACACCTGAAAAGACCTTTGTTGTTTTAAATTAACTTTTGAGATTGTTTACAGCAAATGCTTTTTGCCTCCCCACTGCTATTTGATTGCAACTTTTTATTTCAAACTCTCCCCTAAAGAGTGATTGTGCTAGAAAACCAAGTTGATGTAAAATGTCTCATGCTTGGCAGCTCACCACACTCAAACCGTGTTCTGGGGATGGCAGGCAGCCCCATCCCACTGCCAAAAACTTTCCACTGGGAGTAGTTTTGCAAGGGGCTGGCTGGGCGGGTGGGGAGCCTGGGGGACTGAGATGGGGGCCTTTCTCCTGCTTGGTGACTACATCATCTCTCTCTGCGTAGGTGAAGCTGCTCTCCGAGGAGAACCCAGAATGCAGACCCTGCCAGTGGCCTCTGCCCTCAGCAGTCACCGCACCGGTCCTCCCCCAATCAGCCCCAGCAAGAGGAAGTTCAGCATGGAGCCAGGTGACGAGGACCTAGACTGTGACAATGACCACGTCTCCAAGATGAGTCGCATCTTCAGCCCCCATCTGTGAGTTCTTCTGTTCTTATTTTGGCTTAAGGGTGCTTGGTGCTGGGGCCCTATTTGTTTTGCAACTTTGTGCTGATTCTGAAGTTACCATTTGGATACTTTATTTGTAAAGGATACTTTATTTATAAAGAAAAATAACGCTTGCTGGTCTGACAAAAAGAAGGTAGTATACTCATTTGGATAACTTGTAGAGACATGAAGTCCCACTTCCCTCCAGCGTACCTGTAGTAGGACCTTTCTCATGTTAAATTCCATGGAAGTTAATGTCCTCCCCTTAGAGCTTCTGCAAGTAGTTATCTGCTAAGCTTGGCTTTTCACCTCTACATAACTGATTGTTTTTAGGACAATCAGTGTTAGTGAATGTCAGTATGCACCAGACAAATAGAAGGGAAGGTGAGCAGATGCCTGTTAAGGTTTTACTCAGGAGTCTAGGATTGTACACGAAGAAGTGTTCGTCCCACGTTGTGTGTCCCTGGTACAAACTTGGGACCTTCCCATAAAGGGAAGCCAGCTTCCTATGCTCATACAGGTTGCCACTCATCACATCCAGCCAGTCCTTGATCTGCCGCTGACACTCTACCTTCTTGACACAAATTGCTTCAACTGTTTGGCCTCAGTTTCCTTATTTGTGAGACAACAGGGGCTGAAACTGCAGTTCTCTGTAATACACTGTGCGTCATCACCACATTTCCACTGGAAAAGCCTCCCGCTTCCATGCACTGGCTTCTCCCGTTTGTACTCTGCTCTTGGCACACACCCTGCGTGCAAAGGGATAGGCTTCTCCCCAGTTTTCAGGACTTGGAGACACCCCATCACCTGCCCAGGGGGACTGTGGGGACAGTGGTGAAGGCAGTTGGTGTTCTCAGAGTTGTCTTGCCAGTCCTGGCGAGGCAGCACTGAGTATCGGAGGGAGTTTTGCATATGCAGGTACAGAGGTCCTCCTCCTTCCCCGCCCCAATCACTCACTCCAGCGTGAGTCAGTGTTTCCTCATTTTCAACATGCTCCAATTCCTGAGGGTGCTGCTGCTGCCCCGCAGGAAGGTAGAGCAGGGAAGGCTCCTCCTTGGAGGCAGAGCTTCCGCAGAGAGGTGGCCCAGCTCCCGCCTCTGCTGCCTCAGCTCCAGCGTCCTCGCATTCCGCTCGTTCCAGTCAGCTTGGACTGTTGTGTTCAGTCATAAGACACTGACAGAGGTATTTATCCTCAAATAAATCACTGCAGTGTTAGTCAGAGGCTGAGCCTGCAGTCTGGAGCCCTGGAATTTGCTACCATCAGGAATCCAGCAGGAAGGTCCTGCAAACAATGCACTCCGCAGTTAGGGCTCGCTGAACTCCTGGGTGCTCAACTGTTGCAGTTCATTCTTTTATTACCACAGATTTCTTGTTCTTTCCCAAACCCCTTTTCCAAACCCCAATATGAGCATTTGTTCTTTTTTCTTTTCGTTAGTAAGAAAGGGGAAGGCAGCCTGCAGACAAACATGCCTTAATTTAAATCCTGATTCTGCCACACAACAGCTGTGAGGCTTTGGACAAGTCACTTAATTTAACTGGGCCCAGTATCCTTGACAATGATAATGGTTAATGTATAGAGCTGTTATGAGGATTAGAGTTAAAATAGATAAAGAGCTTGGCACAGTGTAGCACTCAGTTGATGAGAGCTGTTACTCCATTGTTCAGACACTGGTTATAATGATAAAGAATAAGAATGTGTGTGTGTGTGTGTGTGTGTGTGTGTGTGTACGTATGTATGTATGTATGGTGGATTTAATGTTTGATAGTTAAAATCTGCTTTTTAATAAAAAGCCTGGGTTCAAATCTGCTTTCTTTGCATTTCATCGAAGATAATATTAATTCCTTCCTCATAGGATTATTGTAAGGACTTAAGTACGGTGCCTGGCAGATTGTAAGCACTCAGCTTTAGTTATTATTATTAGAATGTTAAAGCGTTTAGAAAATAATTTTATGGCTAGGCACAGTGGCTCACATCTATAATCGTAGCACTTTGGGAGGCCGAGGTGGGTGGGTCACCTGAGGCCAGGAGTTCGAGATCAGCCTAGGCAATATGGTGAAACCCTGTCTCTACTAAAAAGTACAAAAAACTAGCTGGGTGTTGTGGTTGGTGCCTGTAATCCCAGCCACTTGGGAGGCTGAGGCATGAGAATCGCTTGAACCTGGAGGTGTAGGTTGCAGTGAACCAAGTGAGACTCTGTCTAAAAATAAAAAAGGAAAAGAAAATAATTTTGTAACTCTCTTGGGGGCTATAAATATGACCTTGATGTATGGGTCTGTGATGACACTATAAATAATTTTAAATGTAAAGAATAGAATCACTAATTTTTTTTTTTTTTTTT